ACATTCACAAGAAATGACCAAATGTTAGACTATGAAGTATACATCAATAAATTAAATACTGATTCAGATAACATGCTCTGATCACAATGCAGTGGAACTAAACAAAGAAAATTAGGGTTACAAAACTGTAGCCCTACATACTGAAATAAACAGCAAAGCAGAAAAGAAAGTCCAATGAACTAGAAACAAAAGTCATAAAACTAATAAATGAATCCAATCATATAAACCAGCAATTTTCAACCTTTTTCATCTCATGGCACACTTAAAACCAATGACTAAAATTCTGCAGCACACCAAAAAAAATATTTTTGCCAATCCAACAACAAAAAATAGGTACAATTTTGATTCATTCCCTCCAGACAGCTATTGTTGTTAGTTGTTGCCATTTCTTTAATTTGACAGTCTAAGGGAAAAGAAGTCAGTGGCCCTGACTAAACAGTCGGGAATTGCATGTTTTGAAAATTATTGGGGCACACGGGTTGAAAATCATTGCTACAAACCACCATCTAGTCTAGTCAAGAAAGGGGAGAGAACAAATACAAAAGAAACGGAAAGAGCCACAGAGAAAAGTAAGGCTGATAAGACACTACTATCTCGGCTATGCAAATTCACATTAAATCTCAATGACTAGGACAATTTTCTAGAGAAATATATCAAAATGGACTCTACGAGAAACAGGAAAGCTATACAGATCAATTCCGAAAGTTGTCAAAGACCAAGAGCCTCCAAAACACACTAGGTTTAAAAGGTTTCATGGGGTATTCTAGCAAATCTTTAACGAACATATAATTTGAAGGATCAGTTGGTCTTAATATTGAAAAATATTTCTTTCTAAACCAAGCATGACATTGATAAGAAAATCTAACACACTGCTCATACACACAACATCTACAGACAACCAAGCAGCGCGTGAGTATCAATTTAATGAACCCCGGGAATTCATCATCCTATACTCTCTACTTCTATGTATGCTGAAAATCTTCCATAAAAAAAGCTAAAGTAAACGAATGTTTACTCAAGGAGAAATAATGCCATCTAGATGCCCTTTTTCACTAATCCGAACTTTGACAAAAATGGGGTGAATGTGTAACAAAATAGGCCCACTCAAACTTCTAGTGAAGATAAACAGACAACTTCTACGGAAAGAAGGTTAACAATGTTTATCAAAATTTCAAATGCACATGCCCTTTGATGTAGTAATCCTACACTTAGGAATCTGTCACATATATTCATACAAGCACAGTAATTCACTGTAGTACTGCCCGTCATAGCAATGATTCAAAACGACCTCCTAATCATCAACAGGGAGTTCGCTAATGAGTTACATAGAAGTTGCATAGCACACTCATAGAAATAAATTCTCAGAAGCCATAAAAAATAAAAAAAGTTTGCCAGTACAGCTCTGGAAAGCTCTCTAAGTTATTAAGTTTAAAAAAGCAAGGTACAGACAAAAACATAAGCTGCTGTTGGTGCAAAAACAGGGAGGTTAGTAAACAAAAGTTGGAAACTGACTTTTCTGTCTAGGCCCTTTAGCACCCTGTGAATTTGGGAGCATGTGACTATAATCTCAGACCGAAAAGAAAATTTCGCTTTTCAAAATCCCATCCTTTAGAAGGCACTATTGCCATTATAAACTCGTGCTCCATTTAGACCACTTGCTATTCTTGTTACCCTTTGCTGTGTGGAAGGCCATGTTTCAAGTAAAGGTTGAGTTCAAGGAACTCTTCTCATTTTAAAGGGCATAGAGAAAAAAGGCACGCGGATGAAAGGCAGACAATACTCTAGATTCAAACCATCGAATTAGTGGTTCTCAACCCTGGTTATGCTTTAGAACCCGGGCATCTTCTAAAAATACCAACACCCAGCACCCCACCCCCAGACCACTTACATTAGAAGTTGAGGTGATGGGCCCAGGCATGCAAACCGCTGATCTAAATACTTTACAGCAGTGGTCCTCAACAGGGGGGGATTCTGCCTCCCCCAGGGGACATGGCACTTGAGGAGACCTGTTTGGTTGTCACAACTTTGGGGGAGGAGTGTTCCTACTGGCATCCAGTGGGTAGAGGTCAGGGATATGCTACTTCAGGACACACACAGGACAGCACCCCCATGACAGTGACTTGCCCTAAAATGTCAAGAGTGCCAAGACTGAGAAAGAGCCCTTGGAAATATAACCACTGCTTAATAAGATCATATACGTTTCAACCAATGCCATCCCAATAAATTTAATTTAAAAAAATAAAAGCACTGCTTCTGAAGTAACAACCAGTTTTGGTCTTCACTCTTAAGTAAGGGGTGTGCTCTCTGCTTCTATATATGCTTAAAATCTTCCATAAAAAAGCCAAAGTCTAATCAAGCTGTTCCAGGGGCCATAGAAATGACAATGTATTTGTTGATGTGGTTCTAACAAATACAGAAGCATAAAGTTCCGTGTATATCCTTTCTCTGGTCCCTGTTCAGTTACTCTGGTCAAAAATGTATGTCCCGTTTGTAAAGTAGCCAGGGAGAAGGTCATCGAGTTCACGTGGTGGCAGCCTGTGGGTCAACATGGTTCATGCATCTATTTCATTTGAGCCACAGGTCTTTTACAATATATCGAACTGGTGCCAATTCGGCTGCCCCTTCTGGAGCCAGCATATACTGAGGAGTCTGCCACCATCCCCACCCTACTGACTCATTTGCTCCCCCCCTTCCAAGTCCTTGAAGAACTTGAGGTGGTCCTCCCCTGCAGTTTTCTCTAATCATACACTGGCACAAAGCCTCTTTTCTTCCTCCTCGCAGTAAAAATGTCCCCACACCCACTCTAAATTATAAAACTCCCACATCACTTACCCAAACGGAACTTCTATTAGGAGCCAGACGAACTAAGAGAAAGGTATTAGCTGAGACGGCCTTTGTGTGACAACTGTCTTCTAGTTTTCATCAAAGGTTAGACTTCTTGCCACCCGATTCACCTCTAGGTATTATTACAAACAAGCTTGTAGTTTCTAAGAAATTCCACTACAATTCTACATGGCTCTTCTGTGAGATTCCTTACTAGGAAAAGACTTCAATTATTATGCTTCTTCCATTATCCTGGGTTAGTGTAACCCTCCACCCTCCCAAAACAGGTCAGAAGCCTTTTATGGGAAATGTCTATGAAAAGATTTAGTCATTTCCTTCTAAACCACTCATCCCTTTTCCTTTGAAATTACAATCAGAGAGTTTTGGAGCCGTGCTTTAGAGATTACTTGATATAATCCTTACGTTTTATTGATGAGGAAAGTGAACCCTGGTGAGGTTCAGTCACTTAGCCAAGGCCACACTCTTGAGGGCTACAGTGGCAGAGCAAGAATTAGAAGAGTTTCAGATACTAGTCCCAGGGGTTTTCCACAATAACACTATCCTCCACCGTGGTGTTCCTACTCAAAATACTGTACTGCCCTTGCCAAGACACCTATTAACATGGGCAGATACTAGCTGCTATAGAAATAAATACAGCAAAATTTCACCAAGTGGATAGAGAGGAGTTGGGAGTTTTCTGGGTTCCTTTTGCTCTTTATTGTGAATTAGCCTGGCTCAGTTTACCCTAATGACAGGTTGATACCTTCAGAATCTTCTCTAAACCATGAATTAGAAATGCCAAAGATGCTATTTATAGCAACGGTGACATTTTCTTTGTAAACTCTGAAGTCAGTAGCTGCCTCCTCAAACCTCTGCAATTCTCACAAGTGATCAGAGATGGTAGAATAAAACTATTGGAAAGCTTTGGGGAGTGAAGTTTAAGGTGCAACTTCGATTTTTCCCCATCATTCTCTGGCAAACTGGTTTCTTAAAATTTAATCTGGTCTCAATGTCAGCCTAATCCTCTTTTCCCATTCCAACTTCAGTGTGGACATCACATTCTGCATATTGGGTCTTCCTCGAGTGTTCTACCCTATTCCACACTTTAGTTTTCATGTGCACCTGAGACTACTCCTTGACATTTACAGAAAATTTTTGAAATGAACAGACATAAACAATAGGTTATTTCCCCTCGGGAGCTTAGAAGATTTTTGCCGCTCCAATTTATTTTCCTTCAAGGATGCTGAGTTCCATTCCAGTACCTGGGTGAGCACTTTTGGTTGACTTTAGGTATTCCACAACCAGCTCTCTCGCATTCAGTAATTAGGAGTATTCACTCAGCAGTTGAAAAGGCACCACTCTGGGGAAACATGATCCAATTAACATAAGGTGGTGGAATCTAGCCCCATCTCAGCTAGGCCTCAGGCAGGCTGTGCGCCCGGTCCGCTGTATTCCTACCTCAATCTGTGGGAGCTGCCCACCAGCACAGCCCACTCAACAAGGGAGAAGGTGGGTGATACACAAAAGTTGAGGTGCAAGCAAAGGTCCTAGCACCAAGGCCGGGGGTTGTATCGAACCCTGCTCTTACACTGGGAGCCCACACGTCCCCTCTTCCCCAGCATCTAAGGCTTAAATAACGCAGGCCTCTAACTATTTTAACATAACACTAAGAAGATAACGCAGTTCGAGTCCTGCAGCTCCGGCCACACTCGGCCACACTAGAGCACCTTAAAACAGAAAAGGAACAAAATGCTATTGCATAATTTATACGACCTCAAGGTGTTTCTAAACAGCTCTTAACCAACCAAAGAAAGAATCTAAAAATAAAAATGTGAAAAAGCCACCCACATTCCACTGGGAAGTTTTAAGGGCGGGGAGGTCTGTGTCAAGTAGATTTGAAGCTAAACATGCAGGTTTGGGTAGTCCCGTTCGGGATGAGTTCTGTGTCTACGGGTAGGCCCCCGACCAGTACGGGTATAAGGCCTTGTCCCTGCGTGCCCCGAAATCAGAGCCCCCAAGCGAGTCCCCGGACAGCCCGGAGCCCTGCCCACGGTTCCCACGACTTTACCCTAAAGCTGAGGAGACCCGCGGTGGTGGAGGGCCCGGAAGACAGCGGTCCTGAGCCCCAGGGTTGTGGGGACCGTGGGGACTATGGGGGCCCGGGGCCCTGCACTCACCGAAGTCCAGGAACTGCTTGATGGAGAGGGGAGATGGCGAGAAGCGTGAGTAGCGCTCAATCTGCTTGGGCACCGGCTGCTTCAGCAGGCACCGGAACAGCCGCATCCTCGCCGGGGCACTGTACACACCAGCCGAGAAACGCAAGCGGCCGCAGAGGCCGGTGCGACTGAGAGGCGCGGATCCGGCACGTTAGCCAAGCGCGCACCTCGGCCTCAGCCTTGTCCTCGGTGCCGCGGGCGCAGCCGCCGCAGTAGCAGCAGCAGCAGCAGCGGCAGCAAGCGGCAGCGGGAGCAGCACCTCTCTGGCCCTGCTGGCCCACCTCGGATACCCCAGGCTCCGCCCACGGGGGCGGAGCCGGCCGCCGCACGTACACGGCGCCTGAGGGGAGCAGGAAGGGGGGTAGTGGGAGCGCAAGGGGCGCGAGGGGCGCGAGGCCGCACGCGCCGGCCACTGATTGGCCGCCATCGCCTTCGCTTTCTTTTGTGGCGGGGCGCCGCGCCTTCCTCCCGGGCTCTGGGTCACCGCCGGGCAAGCAAGTGCCAGTACCTCAGGTCCGGCTCCGACTAAGTCCTCTGTGGCAAAAAGGTGGCGGAGGTTTAGGGGGGCTGAGAGAAGGCCTGGAGGCACGTAAGGAATCTGATCCTAAACACAGCTCCAGACCTCTCTCAACTGAAGGCACCTCCTCCAGGAAGCCTTCCCTGAAGGCTGGCTGTTGTGCCTCAAGGTGTTCCGTACATCTTGACGCTTTGATTTTTAGGTTGTTTGCCACTTAACCATAGTGGCTGTTTCATGCCCTCCATGGCCACGGCCTCCGCCACCACCACCACCTTTGGGCAGGATCATATGAAACTCACTGGTTCTGTTTTGTGCCCTCACTCTTGGGCGGAATTAATTGTAACATCACTGACTCGTGTTCTGCACCCCCTCAGCCCCGCCCTGCCTCACCCTCTCACCCCAACTCTCACTAACACCTTTCGACAGGATTTTTATGTCTTTGATTCTGCTTCGTGGCCCGCTGCCCCTGTTCCCCAACCACCTCCCTCCCACCTAGGCCAACGCCTTTAGACAAAATTAATTGTTAAATCATTCACTCTGTTTCACCCACCACTCACCACCACCATTGGACAGAATCGAATTTAAGGTCACTGACACTTTGTTTTGCGCCTCCTTCCCACCACCCCCTGTACACTCTCCCTAACACCACTGGGCAGGATTAATTGTAAGGTCACTGACTCTGTTTCATGCTCCCACCCCCACCACCATTGGAAAGGATCAAATTTAAGGTCATTGGCACTATCACACCCCCTTATCAATGCCACTACCATAGGACAGCTCCCTGACTGTTTCTTGCTTCCCCACCACCATCACCACTACTTTGGGACAAAAAGTCTATGCTTATACTGTGTGTTGGTATTCTTTGTCTACATAAGAATGAACTTGAACTCAGGATTCAGTATATGAAATCATTATTTCCTAATGTGAATATATGAAGTACTGCGTGCTTTAACCATTTCTACCAAACCTTATTTTATTTTTTGCAATGTGTAAACATACTAAAAGGAAAGGCAGGATGCTTTCTAAGGAAAGGTAAAACTGTAGCTAGAAACCACTCCTTTGCTCTGATTGGACTGGTTTTCTCAGTGAATAAGATTATTTCGTGTGTAGCTACTGGTACTTAACTTTTGTGTCTTCAGTGGGTATGCATCCAATTCAATCGTATCTCTACTCTGAACTTAAAGAACAGTAATACATACACTTGAAGACAGCAATGGTCTTCCCCACTTCTAGATTTTCAAGTTGTCTTGGTGGTGGTACCATATACAGACTACCAGGTCTTTTCCATGCAAACCAAAGCCTAAAAGAGACATACTACAATCTCTTCAACCAGGAGCTCTACTTGCACAGCTAAGCAATCCTGTTGGTGAGCCCATGTGGACAGAGAAGAAGACCTGTGGCCTATAGTGACTTTGTCAGACACTACTTGGAGGCAGAATGTACTTGGTGGCTATTGTGGGAGTTAGTGAGCAGGGAGAATTCATTACTGATGAAGAGGGAGGTTTTCCCAACCTAAGCTACAAATGCTGCTGATCTGAGCTTCAAAATCACTTATTTCACTCCTTCTTTTTCCACTAAACAAAATGCTACTTTAAATCTATGTATTCTGTTGATTTGATTACCCAAACTATCATGTGCATAGTTTTATTGATGATTGTACAAAAGGTGGCAAATCTTAGAATTGGGAACAATATGAAAGAACCTGGTATAATAGAAATTGTGCCGGTCCAGGGTTCACATGACCCAGTCCTGAGCTTGGTTCTGTCATTAACTACCTGTGTGAGCTTACACAGGTCACTTAGACTTTCTGTGTCCTAGTTACTTCTCATATCAGAGGAAGATACCTGGTTTCTCTCCCTGATATTTGTGACAATCAAATGAAATAAATCATATCTAATAAAAATGCAAGATATTGTACATGAGTTATACAGCAACACGTATTTTTAGCTAATTGTTTCGTGTTAATTGGCAAAATTCAGAATAAACCAGTGGGTTGATTTCAGTGCAGGTCGTAGTTAAAAGAGATAGGTCTTGAAAGCAATAAATAGATCTTGATGAACTTTTTATAGTCCTGTACACACCAAGGTCTTTCCCTGGGATTGGGCCCCAATCCTAGTGGCTTTTAGAGTGAGATCCTTGGACCAGAAGCAGGGGAGTCACCTGGGAACTTGTTAGAAAGCAAATTCTTGGACCCCACTCTAGACCTACTGAATCGGAAACTCCGGGGGTGAGGCCTGGCAAGCTATGGGGGTTTTAAAGATATAGCTCCAAATTCTTCAATATTCCTCCCTTCAAGAGATTTAGTAGTACTAGCTTCTAACAAGTAAAGGATGCCCATAGTGATGAGATCTCACTTCAAAGGTTAGGTTATAAAACAACTCCAGTCCTACAATATCCCTGACCAGTAATTCCTCAAAATTATAAAGGTCATTAAAAACAAGGAAAATCTGACAAGTTCTCACAGCCAAGAGAAGCCTAAGGAGACATGAGAACTAATCATAAGTTACTGTCTTGGATGGTGTTCTGGAACAGATTTAAGGACATTAGGTAAAAACTAAGGAATTCTGAACAAAGGATGGACTTTAGACCAACTCTGTTTAATAATAATGTATCAACATTTGTTCATGAAATGTACCAAATGTACCAAGATAATGCGAGTATGGGAACTTGTGTAACTATCTTCTCAATTTTGCTGCAATTCTGAAAATGTTCTGAAAAGTAAGGTCAATTACAATACAGTACTGTTGATTATAGTTACTATGTTGCATGTTACATACCCAAAACTTATTTATCTTGTAACTGGGAGGTTTGAAGGTTGCTAAGAGAGCAGATCTTAAAAATTCTCATCACAAGGGGAAAATATTTATAACTATGTGAGTTGATGGATGTTAACTAAATTTATTGTGATAATCATTTCACGATATATACAGATATCAAATCAGTATGCTGTACACCTTAAACTTATATAATGTTATATGTCAATTATATCTCAGCAAAACAGGGAAATGTAAGTACCTTTTGATTGCAATTGTAAAATAAAATATTTTCAAATAATATAAGTGAAAAAATAGGATATCAGTAAAGATATTTTATATCCATAGAATAACTACTGAACCTTTAGAGGACAAGTATTATAAAACTACTAATAATTAAGTGAACATTAAAAAAACACTGTGGCTCCCATCTTGAAGTTCATAGTCTCTCTCTCTCTGTCTCAGAAGCCACCTGCCATGCTGCAAAGCAGCCCTGTTGGAGAAGCCTGCAAGAGTGTGCTGGGAAGCAGGTCAGTGTAGAAGCAGAGCCCTCCCTTGTCCTGCACCTTGACTGTAACCTTGCGAGACCCTGAGTCACAAGCACTCAGCTAAGCAGCTCCCGGGCTCCTGACCCACAAAACCTTTCACAGTTTGTTGTAATGAATGTTTGCTGATATGTAATGAATGTTTGCTGATATGTAATTAATGTTCCAGCTGATAAATTTTTGGCTCATTTGTTATGTAGTAATAGCTAACTCATTCTGATGCATACTCAAAGGTGAGAACCTGCTGTCCTGCCCTATACACTCTAATCCAATTCCTTATTCCTTTTAGCTAATGGCTCAGACCTCAGCATACTCAGCATTTAGACATCATGGGAGGCCTTTCCTGACCATAAAGGTGATTTGTTCCCCTTGCTATTTATATGGTTTCCTGATTCTCTTGTACTTCCCACTGTAACACTCAAAAGACTCTGGTATAAGTCAATGAATGCCTATCTTTGACACTATGCATAAGCTCTGTGACCACTGGGCCTAACTGGCTTATTCAGTGCTTCATCCCCAGTGTGCAGCGTAACTACCAGTCACCATTCAGGTTCACAGTAAATATCTATTAAATAAATGAAAACCAACCACAGAAATGACAAAACCTACCCCAAACTGCATTCCTTCCCATGAGCTCTCAATAGAGAACAAAGGCAAGGGCGGTATTCTGAAGAACAGAAGCAATAATGGAAATTTTATTAAATCCATATGCAATAAGGCCAAAAGCCCAAACCCAAAGTGGAGTGGACCATACGAGGTAAAAAATAATAATAATAATAACTGCTGATTATCTCTTCACCATTAATTGATGGATCTTGTTGTACAATGCCTCCAACATCTCTTGACTTTATGAAATCCTGGGCTTTCCCTCCTCCTTCTGTCTTCACTTTCAATCAGAATTTTTAAAAATATTTTTATTTATTTATTTTTTAGAGAGAGGGAGAGAAACATCAGTGTGTGGTTGCTTCTCGTGCACCCCCTACTGGGGACCTGGCCTGCAATCCATGCATGTGCCCTAGACTTGGAATTAAACCAGTGACCCTTGGGATCACAGGCTGGTGCTCAATCCACCGAACCCCATCCGCCAGGGCTCAATCAGCATTTTTTGAGCATCTACTTTGTGCTCTGCGCAAGTACCTATGGTTGTCTCTTCACAGTAAATAATTTTATGGATTAACATTGTCTTCATTTTACATGCGAGTGAACTTAGATGCAGAAAGGTTAAAATAATTTAAGATTACACAGCATGTAAATGACAGTCTGGGCTTGTGTCTGGGTTTCCTGACTCTCAATTCTCGGTTCTTTCATAATACTGGCCTGCATTTTAAAAAATAGACTTAATTATTTAAAATCATTTCAGGTACACAGCAAAATTGAGTTGAAAGTACAGGGAGTTCCTGCATGCCCCTACACACACAACCTCCCCGCCATCAACAGTGTACACCAGAATGATACATTTGTTACAAT